CTTGGGGACAAATGGAACTTCGGAAATTCCCGTTTCCGTCCCGTCCCATCCCATTCTCAAACGGGAATCGATAGCTTGTACTATACGGGAATATGGTCCAATACGGAACAGAAATTCGGAACCGGAAAAGGGACGGTATAGGACGGTTCGGAATGGAACGAGAATTATGCCCACCCATGTGCTTTAGTTTAACATAGGTTTTTTTGGTGGGTTTTATCTTTATGATAGTTAACAATGAAATTAAGAAGGAAAAAAACAGCGAACAAGAAAAGATATCTGTTGTATTTGGGTATTCGAGGTTGGAGCTAGATTTTTCAATAAAACATAGCTATCTTTAATTTCTTGAATCGGAACCATTTAGTTAGATGATTGAGTAATAGAATTTGATAAATCTGTCTAATTAATCGGATCAATTTTAATGTTAACATAGTATCTATACTAATACTATATATGTCGACTACAATGAAACGAAATGCATGAAGAAAAAAAAATCAAAAGGCGAAAGCAAATATAAAGACCTAAATTATATCTTTAGGTGATAGCTTGAGACATAAGATAAGTATAATTTTAATCTCATTATTTTTTTTTATTTTTCCGTCTCCCTTTCAACATGTGACATATGAGAGAGACCTTTTCGCTTTAGATAAGCTCATGTGATCAATCAACGTATTTGTATATATATTTTTTCACAAAATTCAAAGTACTATATATATATATATTTTTTTTAAACTCGCATATACATTTAATCGCAATTAAAATCAGCACATCAGAGATACATAGAAGAAAAATACAGACTTTAAAAAAATGTATTTGAAAATGTTACAAATTAAATCGGGTAATAACTAAGTTAAGAACATACTTTAAAATGTTATCTACATCTCGCAGTGAAATATGCCCAACAAAAAGTAAAGATCTCGATTAACAGAACTATATGGATAATTAATTTGTTTTAGTTATCGATCATATAGTGTCTTCTTTTCTGAGCAAAAAATATAGTGTCTGCACTAGTCACATGAAAGTGAGTTTCTTTTTTTTCCCCGCTTTGTGTGTGCTTTGACAGTTTTTGTTTTTAGAATGTTCAACATTATCAAAAGCGTATTGGCATCTTGTAAAACTAAATATATATAAATCTCACCATATAAAAGAAAATGAAAGAAGAAAACGTGGGCACTTTTTACTTTGGTCTAGTTTGATAAAGAAAAAGAAAAACTGTTTCTATATGTTCTATTAATTATTACAACTTTTTTTTTGGTAAAAGTTGAAAATATATTACCAAAAAAAAAAAACAAGTTACAGATGTTTCCCAAGATATGTCAATTGGGGTATGACAAAATATTAACTCACATCAAGAAGAATCGACACTTAAAGGAAAGGAAGGAGAGAAGACATAAGAATACGAGAAGGAAGGCAATAAATGAAGACTCATTGAAGCATGAAGGAGTGGAGATGATTGAAGAGACGTTGGGGAGGCTCTGATGCTAGATTGTAGATAGAAGGCAGACTGGCGAGAGGACGAGGAGCTAGTTCGAAGGTTGGAAGTGGTGGAACCAGAGAACTATGTAAATATAGACGTAAATACAACTTCCAAGATACTAATAAATAGTAGTAGTATTTAATTTCAAGTAAATATAGTAGAAAAATGAAAGTATAAATTATTGGAGTTTAACCACCATCGTCGGCTAGCAATTTTTTTATCAATAACATATGATATGGAGTTTAGCCAAAAAAAAACATATGATATGGAGATATCAAAAGTTGTGACATTTTTCTTCATCGTACTGGTTTAATTTGGCTTTTATGTAAGGGTGAATTGC